CTTGAATCCAGGAGGCAGAGGTTGCAGTGAGCCAAGATCGTGCCACTGTACTCCAGCGTGGGTACCAGAGAGAGATTCTGTCTCAGGGGGGAAAAAAAAAGAAACGAAATTTCCAAAGTTCACTAGCTGGAAACGCTGATCTCACCCCTATCCCATCCCATCCCAGATGGGAGCTGACAACTTCCTACCTAGCAGACACCTCATCCAAAGACCCCAGGGGTGGAAGAGAAGAGCCACTAAGATGCAGTAAGAAGTCTAAAGCAAGGACAGCTTCTAGAAATTTCTGCTTTATACACCTTTATTTTTTTTTTCTGAGATGGAGTCTTGCTCTGTCACCCAGGCTGGAGTATACTGGCACCATCTCAGCTCACTGCAGCCTCCACCTCCCAGGTTCAAGTGATTCTTCTGTCTAAGCCTCCCAAGTAGCTGGGACTACAGGTGCACACTACCATGCCGGGCTAACTTTTGTATTTTTTGTAGAGACAGGGTTTCACCATATTGGTCAAGCTGGTCTCAAATCTCTGACGTCAGGTGATCCACCCACCTCAGCCACCCAAAGTGCTGGGATTACAGGCGTGAGCCACTGTACCCAGCCTCTTCCATGTATTTTAAATTTTCAACCATGTGAATGTATTAACTATTCAAAAATAACTAATACGTCATTTAAAATGGGGAGAGGAGGAATCATCTGGGAAAGTATTCTGCAAGCCACCCAGAGCCACAGGGAACCATCTCTGCCAAACACATCCAGTGATGCAACACTGAGCAAAATGCAGACTGTACGGAAACGATGCAGCCGTTAGTCATTTCTTCTGATCCCTAATTCCTTAATTTATGACCCAGAAGAGGCCCATGCTGTACTGGGAATGTAAGGATCAGCCCTGCCTTCAGAGCAGCTCAGCCCCAAACACCCTTATCCTGCTCTATTTCCCTGTCTGTACATCTTGGCACTTAGAATTAAGTGTATGGAAGACATTTCCTCAGATTCCCTTAGGAATTATTTGTCTTCAACTCCCAAGAGTGAAGGCAGATGGGAAGACTACAGCAATCCCAGCATTCAGAGTGCAGGAGCCACACACAAGCATCCCAGGGAGTGTGGGGAGTGAAAGTCTGGGCGTGGCTTTCACAAGTTCCTGAACCACAGGGCTCAGTACTACTGCCAGGAAAAAAAGAAAAACTTAACCAAATAATTGAGATTTTGCTTTCAAACCTTGGTCTTCCCTACCTCCTCATCCTTTCCTAAGCTCTGGGTATAAAAGAAAAACCTACCTCTGCCAGGATTTACCCCTCCCAACCTTGTGGGCAAGAAGATCAGCCTACAAAGGGTCTACTTTGAAGGGGACTCTGCAGACAAGCCTAGAGCCTCCTGAA